ATTTAATATGGTATTAGATTGTTTTTATGAAATTGAAATGGCCAGAAGGCTAATCAATAAAAATTGACTGACTGACTGGGTATTTGACCAGGAAACTATCCTTTGAAATATTTGATGTCTTTGCTGAGATTCAATATGGCTTGCAAGATTATATTGTCACTGCATAAAAGCAGATTATATTCAATATAATATTTTAGAGAGCAATTTTAGAAATAACCTAGTAACTGCCTAACAAATATGCAACTTTGGAGATTTACTGCAATACTGCAATAAAAGTATGCTTGACAAAGCTGACATTTCTAAGCTGATTTAGAAATGACAGTGATCTGAAAATGCAAAAGCCATAAAAAAAAAAAAAAAAATTAAAGATACAGACAGACTGGCATTTAACAGCATCATCTTGACTGGAGCACTCAGCAATCCAGCTACCTGTTTCTTGACTTGAGACTGGGAAGCTGGAAGCCGGAATTGGAATCAAATTTCTAATCTCTTTTCCCTGTAATGGCTTGCCCCCAGCTCCCACCATACTCCCCCCGTCTGTCACTATTATTATCCTCCATTTTTACCCTCTCTGTTATCTGTCTCTCCCACTTTCCCACATCTCCAATGCTGGTCACCAAAACCAGTCCTCATAAACAGACAATTCTTTCCTTTCTCTCCTCCCAGTCAGTCAGTAATGAACAGTAACAATAATAATACCTAGAGTTTTAGAAGCAATGGAGTAATTCCCATTTACCTCTTCCCCCAACCCATCTGACCAGATCAAACTGGCTCTCACCCAGTAGGGTTAGAGGGACTCAGGGTCTCCCCTCCCTGTTTTTTCAGTACAGAGAGGGGGTGATTTTCCTCAGTCCTCCACCTAAGTGACTTTTTTCTTCTATCTCCTTCTGCTCCACCACCATTCTTTTTCCTCTCTTCTGGAGTAAACTTTCAGGCAGTCCAGGGAAGGGGCATGACTCCACTCTGCCCCATATTCCCCCCTTGTCCTGGCAGGTTGCCTAATCCTGTCTTAGGAGGCAAGGAAACACTGAGACTCTATATTATGAGTATCATTTGGTATTAAGGAATGTTAATTTTGTCATAAACTTGGGTGAATTATTTTCAATATTCAGTCCTATATATGCATATCTGGAATAAGTCCCACTGAACTCAGTGGTACTTACTTTTATGTAGACGTGCATAGGTTAGCAATATTAATTTTTTATAATGTCCAAAATAACAAAAGTCTAGATAACACATCATTTTAGAATACATTTCAGCTTTTGTTTCAGACTTGAAGATGCAAAGTCTGAATATAATATGTCCTATTTACCAGTTAGCAATAAGCAGCAATCTAAATTGGAGATCATTAAAAAGCACAGAACAGGAGCTGAAGCAGTAGATAATCTCTCAGGAGTTTATTCTTCAAATGGCAATGTCACAAAGCCTCCTGTATAGTTAAAGAAGGTGAATGCCAATTCCAGAATATTACAGACCTATATCCAATATGCAGGACTATAGAGAGATAATGAAAAAAAATCAGATGAATCTTAAGTTCTCTATAGCTGCACGAAATCCATCATCTTTTTTTAAAAAAAACTCCAACAATTATGCAGATGCAATTCTTCTCTTTCTCCTTTTAGTATTAGATGATCTTATATATTGTACTTCAGAAGGGAAGATGATAGATGTAGAGAATTGTGTCTAGATAGTACAATAGGATGACATTCAAATCACCTGTTACACTGACATATATGTATGTTGCTCTGTCTGTTTAAACAGGTATGTCCAATTTATTCTGTTTAAACAGACATCTCAACATACTTTTACTAAAGAGACAGTAGAATTCTGTTTCCATAATACATCTGATCATGAATATCATTTGACTGTGGATATAATAAAAAGTTGTGCAATGCTGTCTCCTTCCAACAAAACCAACAACTAACAGCACAATGTAGAACCCATGGATTAAATTTTATAATCACACAGACAGAGCATGTATGTAAAATAAAAAACTTGAGGCAACATTTGTGTGATCTTTCAGTTCATGAATAAGCTAATTATGATTATACAAATCACAGGATAAATGTGTGACCCTAAACTAACAAAGATTACTGTACACATGGGCCCTTTTGTGTGTGCAGCACATTCAGTAAAGCAAACCACATAACAATCCTGCCTCTGCATATAGCTAAACTTCACTTTATACAGTGAATTTCTCCCATCCCCTGAGGAAATGTTTAGACTGACAGAAATTTAAATATAGCTCTCAAAAGACTACTGATTGAAGGAGCACATGATTTTAAAAAATCCTCGGTACAAATTAAATAAAACCAGAAAATCACAAGTTTACATAAGAGGTTCCTACTGAACTTAGGTCTGATTCATCTTTAATAAATCAATTTAACTTTTTTCAAGCAGAGCTACAAAAATAGACTGTAAAAAGTTTCATTTCAGAATAAAATATTTTCCTGCATGAAATCGGTATTGGAGAAAAGTCCTGAGAATACCACAGATAGCCAAGAAAACAAACAAATAGATCACTGAATAAATCAATCCAGAGTTCTCACTGAAAGTACAAATGACCAGGCTCAAATTATTGTGCTTCAGACACAGTATGTGAAGCTGTACTGGAAAAGACTATAATGCTGAGAAAGGTGGAAGGAAATAGAGGAAGAAGATGACCAGAGACAAGATAGATGGACTCAGTTACAGTAGCAATGGGTGCACCACTGGAAGACCTGAAGGACCAAGATGGGGACAGATGCTCGCAAATCTGTGTGGTCATGAAGACTCAATACAACTTAATGGCACAAAATCAATCAATCAATGAAATAGGTAAAATTATATCAGCAAAAATTCTTTTAAAAAGTGTTTCCAATCACTGTGATCAATTCTTACCCCTATATGCTGGAAAAGCCAAGATCTCATCACATTTGTAGCATGCTTTGGAAGAACACCTCTTTTATTCTTTGATGATCCATCATCTTGATGCAAGATGCTTAAATCTTGGTTTAATTGTAACTGGAGCTGCACAAATAGCACAACTTTATTAACACACCATAAACATTATCAAAAATTCCTTAATACTTCACAAGAATAATTTTATAAAAGCACAACTGTTGTATTAAAAGTAGAAGGGGATGTACCTCAGAGCTACACATGCACCTTTTCAGATAGTATGCAAGAGCTATATATGTCAATGCTAGTCCATATCAGAAACTGTGGACAACTATCAAATTAGGAGAAACAGTTCTAACCCTATGTTCTCACTAGAAGTTTTCTATGTGCAGGGAATTTTAGAAGAATTTTATTTATTTTATGGGAACATTCAAGCATAGTATTCACAAACTGCAGATTGTAATGATTATAAAGATGAGTAAGGATTCTCTACAACTCTGAGGAGTATTTATCCCTTTTAAATTTATGGGGGGAAATCAGTGATGCGTGGAACAACACAGACAGGGGCAAAGATGTGGCCTCTGTGATATATGAGTGCTCAAATTCTGTTTGTGCCCCCAGAGATCCCTCTGATTATGAGTGCTGAAACTTAAATGCAGTTCCTGCCAATTATTTTATGGATGGTATAAGCAGATGCTTCTTTTTACTTTTTGTCCACATTTTGCATATTAAAAATATTTAAATTCATTATATAGGCAACCCTGTATTGTCAATGCATATTTTCCACCTCTTATTAAAATTTTGGCTTCTTCTCCCATTTTAAACCACTCTATGAAATACGTAGAACAAACCTGTGAATTCTGGATCCTGATAGTTCCAGGTGACAGTGCCTGTGTTACTACTTGTCCTTGAGGTGTGACCACTGTTACTGGTTGATATACTGTGCCACCTTAAAAGAATACAGCAATCAAGTAACTGAGAGATCAAGAGGCTGTATGTTAACTGATGTTTAGTTATTATTAAAGATATAGGATGGAGATATGTTTAACAGATAAAATGATTTTTAAAATGCAAAAGGTAATAATTGTTCTGATTTCATAGAATATTTTACTTTATGGAAGCAGAAATCCAGATAAGAGTCAGCAGTGTCCACACGGCAGGGGTCCAAAAAGTCAAAATGGCAGTCTCAACAGTAAATTGAAGCCCTGCCCCTTTGTATATGTGTGTGATGTCAGTGCACGTACAAAAGTGTCAGGGCTTTGATAGTGGTACCAGAACCAGCATCTTGACTTTTTTGACCCCTGCTGTGCGCGTGACTAAGAGTATTTTTACTATATTTGGTATTATTACATAAATCAGCTAATGTATTATGAATATTTTAATTACTCAATATATATTTGATTTGCCTTCATTTTCTTTTCACTAGTTCCTAAGAGGAGTAATACTAGACAAATTACTCCTTGAAGAGTAATAGTATTGTTTAAAATGACGTTTCATTTATCTTAAGATAAATAGGTGGTATATAATAAAACAAATTTTTATAATATTTTTCTCTTTAGAAACTACTAAACAGCCAGACGCACACACAAACACATATATCCACACACATTGATAAAATGCAACATTTGAATGTTTAGTGTTTCTTACCTGCAACTGTTGCCATTGTTACATTTCCCTGCTGCAGTGCTGATGCAGGTACCACAATCCCCTGGGGACTTAGTGTACCTGTGATGGCACTTTGAATTGGCTAGAAACAGTAACAACAAGAATTACATAGCCTTATATTTATGGAAGTTCCCATGATTTCAGTTGAACAGTTTCAAATCAGAGAGAGATTTGAAAAAAACACAATGATGTCGACTAACAAGTATGATAAAAAAACTGTTATGAAAACAAGTTCAATGAGAAGAATAAATAGGCAAGAAATTATAGTTTGACAATATGTGTATGTGTATGTTGTTTCTAAAATGCTAGCTTTCTTTCTAATATTTAAACATTCATAGAATAGTTAAAAACAGGTATATGAATGTTGAATTATATATAATTAAACCAAGCAATAGTTCCTGTACCACTCAATACTATTCTTAACATAGTGAAAGCTTGAATTTGTATGTCAAATTGCTAGATTAGAGATAATGGGATGAATATTTGGAAATGGCTATCAGTAATTTATCTAGATTTTTTTTTTTAAAAAGGAAAGAGTAAATAATTGTATAGGTTTTCAGTCTTAAAGATCTCTTAAGCATTTTAAACCTGAGGAGCCAAGATGATTTCATAGTATTTTGCCAAAGTTCAGATTTAAAATATTTACCCATATTAGTAAACTCTCAAATATATAATCTAATATATATAGATGGCAAGAATGCAGTTTAATAAGTTGACATGGGGTTGGCATGAAGTGTTCAGTGAAATTCAATGAAGAAATCTTTCATTATATTTCTAAAAACATATATCAATATCTTTACACTATTCATGATTAACTTAATTTTTCTTTTGTAAGTGATAAATATATGTTGTCTAATGGGTTTCTAGGAGAGTTCTCACAGTATGAAGATGAATACAGTAAACTCTCTATTTAAAGGATTTATTTATTTATAATACTTATACTGTTTCAATCT